GGAAGCAAATGCCAGGTATGTGTGGGGGTCCAGGAACTTCCATGGAGCCTCCCTCCATGACTTACAAACGTCACCTGGGTGGGTGATTCCACGCTCTTCACATCCCCCTCCTTGGCGCCAGTCCCTTCCCTCATCCAGGCAGTTCTTCCTAACATCTGACTGAAGACTTTCCTGCTGCATCACCAACAGACGCCAGCTGAAGCCCTCGAAGCCAGCCCCCGGCCCGGTTCCACCCTGTCTGCAGAGTTGGTAGCAGCTCCCGGCTCAGAGCACTAATCCTACTGACAATGAATTGGCTCTTGTTGGAGGAGAATGAATACCATCTCATCTTAATCTTCTTCATTATTCTCCTTGTTCAGCAGAGTCAACACAAGATTAGGTTTAATTTACGGGGGAAAAAATGGCAAAGTCATTACTCACGAGGAGATCAGGGTCGGAGCCACCTGGGTGCTCCGTGCTCACTGCCGGCCCCCCGGGCTCTGCTGAGGTGGGGGACAGACTGGGGGGCCGGTCTAGGCCCACAGACCCACTTGGGGCCAGATCCCTGGAGACCACCAGCCCTTCCCGATCTTATAGGACTCAGGCTTCCTAACTGTTTCTCAGGAGACTCTGCGGTAAGAACAGCTTTAAAGCCCAGCCCTGAGGACCCAGACCCAGTGCCGAGCAATGGAAAGAGACCAGGCTTTGGATTCAAATGCCCGCTTCCGAGGCCCCTTGCTCTGCAGAGAACTGGCCGGGACCAGCCCAGCTTGGAGACTGCCTTGACAATGCTGACACCTAGTGGCACTCAGAGGAACTGGCCCCTCCTTCCCGTCTACATACACAGCTGAATATACTCTAAACACAAAATCCAGATTTACGAGGTAGATTCATTAGAAAGAGGAAGAGGGACTTTTTCCACAACAAAACTGTTAAATAGAGCTATCCACCAAGAAATCTAAGAGGAAATTCATTTTACCTTCCCTGACCCCTCAATCAAAATTGCCCCCAAACACCTAGCACCCGCTCCTGGGATAATGGGATGCGTAGAAGTGCCGGAGCTCAATGTCCTTGTCATGCCCAGCCCTTCCCACTCTTCCCCACCACGGAGCCCCTAGCTTCCACCCCTGCTCTGTCCCCCAGCACGTGCCCACCTCTGATTCGATACCACAACGAAGTGGATAAGACGAGCCGGAGACCCGGCTTCAACTCCTCACTGTGTGACCCTGGGCAAGTTACTCAACACCTGAGTCTTGGCTTTTCTATCTGTAAAATGGGAACATCTGCATCTGCCAGAGAGGGCCACTGAGCAAATTAAATGAGTCTGTGCACTCAGCACTGGAATTGGCACCGTAAGTCCTCAGCAAATGCCTGTCATCATTGCCATCATTGCTGTCATCAGCATCATCACCATCGTCATCATCCTGATCATCCTATTATTACTCTTGGGAAGTTTGGTGTCATCAACCAGATGGTAAAGTGCTGAGGCCTAACCCCCATCCCCCAGCTCCTGCTGGACGGAGCAAGGTTTATCCTCAACAGAAACTGATGTACTCTACAGGGCTCTCGGTCACCTGCCTACAGCTCCAAGCTCATGTCAATCCCTGCCTACTTATTCACCGCTACAACCATGCTCACTGCCTTCCTGATCTGTGAATAAACTCATTCCCACCCCAGGGCCTTTGCACTTGCTGCTCCTGCAACGCTCTGCCCCCAGATATCTGCATGGCTGGTTTCTCCTCATCGATCAATTCAAATGTCACCTCCTCAGAGAAGTCCTTCCTGATCACCTTGACTACAGTAGCTCTCCCACTCTCACTCTCTGCTCTGTTTACTCCACTACTGAGTGCCAAGTGCCACAGCGGCTGAGTAGAATTCTAGCTCCACCACTTATTAGCAGCATGGCTTCAAGCAAGATGCTTAATCTCTCGTGGGTTGGGCACGGTGGCTCACGCCTGTAATCCTAGCACTCTGGGAGGCTGAGGCAGGTGGGTCGTTTGAGCTCAGGAGTTCGAGACCAGCGTGAGCAAGAGCGAGACCCTGTCTCTACTAAAAATACAAGGAAATCAGCTAGAAACTAAAAATTTATAGAAAAAATTAGCCGGGCATGGTGGCGCATGCCTGTAGTCCCAGCTACTCGGGAGGCTGAGGCAGGAGGATCACTTGAGCCCAGGAGTTTGAGGTTGCTGTGAGCTAGGCTGACGCCACGGCACTCTAGCCCGGGCAACAAGAGCGAGACTCTGTCTCAAAAAAAAAAAAAAAACTCTCGTGTTTCAATTTTCTCATCTATAAAAATGGAATTATTAATAACAAGTTTCTACTTCCTGAAGTTATTATGATAAAGTAATAGATATAAAGTCTTCGAGGGGTGCCTGGTATGCAGACTAAGGGCTCTGTCACGTGGGCACTTATCTCGTTCATTCATTTCATTGCTTGTGTTTACATTTCTCCACCCAGGCTGCATATTCCAGGAGTGCAGAGACCGTGTCTGTTCCATCCCTGCCCGACACGTGGTGGGCACTCGATAAATCGAATGATGAGAAGGGATCTCGGGAGACATGCAGGCCCATCTGCTAGCTCTGGCTTCAACAGTCCTCACTGTCAAGAGAAGCCCCTGGGGTATCCCCTGCTGGACAGCACACCAGTCTTTTTCTTACCATCTCAACAATAAATAAATACATAAATTAGCTGGGCATGGTGGCACACACCTGTAGTCCCAGCTACTCTGGAGGCTGAGGCAGGAAGATCCCCTGAGCCCAGGAGTTTGAAGCTGCAGTGAGCTATGATGACGCCACTGCACTCCAGCCTGGGTGACAGAGCAAGACCCTATCTCCAAAAAAAAAAAAAAAAAGAGGCTGATATCTGCCTTCCCATAATGTTCCCATGTGGGTCCAGCTCTGGGCTCTAGAGGAAAGGACAGAAAAGCTGGGAGGGATTAAGAGCGTCCACCTTGGAGCCGACGAGCCTGGACTGGAGCTGGCGCTTCTGCAGCTACTGTGCGTGTCATCTGCCTGGAAAGCCTGTCCTGAGTCTCCTCCTACGCAGAAGGGAAGACGGTGCCCTCTCCCCCAGGCCCACCTCTGACGGACTGCGTGGGTGACGTAACGGGAAGTGCCCACCTCGTCCAGCCCTCTGATGGCTCAGAAGCAGCTGTCTCATCTTCCTCAACTAAACACCGCTGATGTATCCAACCGCCCCTCCAGTGACAGACACCCAGGGAGAACATATCTGGGGCACCCATTATTTGAGTCCCTCCAAAAGGGCCCTGGGGAGAGACCACAGCAGCCTTGAGGCCTCTGGGCTTCTGGGTCCTTCCTCTGAGACCAGGCAACTAACTGACCAGAGGTAGCCTTGCTGGGCTTGTACCCTCCCACCTCCGACCACCCTGCCTCCCCTGTCCCTTGTCTGTCCGTCGTGGCCCCTGAGGCCCTCTCCTGCCTCCCACTGCACTTGCTCCCACCCTCCCCAGCAGCGCCCTTGGCCTTGGTTGCTGGCCACATACGCTGCAACTCCTACAGCTACCTCTCCAGCCCAGAGCCCCAGATTCCCCGGGAACCTCTTTCCTTGATGCCCCGTGGACACTCGAAACTCTGGGGAGCTCCCCACCACCTACAGCACCTCCCACACCGCCCACATTCCCGCCCTGACACCCAGTCCTCGCACAGGCCCCTCATGCCCACTGCCTGTCTCCACCCAGCCTCCTCCCACAGCCCAGCAAGGGCTCTGGTCCTCCCCTCGCTCGCCCCAGTGGGCTCCCCACCCCATCCTCTCCCCAAAGCTCCACCTTGCCTGTCACCCATTTATTCAGACAGGGGAGCTCATGGTTGGGCCTCTTCCTCCACAGCTTCCCTAGTCTGACTGGGCCTTCCCCGTCAGACTGCGAAATCCGCTAGAAAGGACTGAGGGTGCCCTTGGGGCAGGGGCTATGCCTCCCCCTTTAGGCTGAGAGTTCTGGGAGGTCAAGGTTTTGTCTCCCCTGTCAGGCTGAGGATGCCCCCAGAGCGGGGAGTATGCCTCCACCATTAGACTGGAGGCCCCAAGACATATCCCTCGCCAGGGTGTTGCCCCCTGGATGTGGCCAGGCTGCAGGTTCTTCCTGGGACAGAAGAACCTGGGTCTTTCTCACCCTTGTAATTTCAGAGTCCTCACACAGGCTGGGGTTGGGGCTCCGGGAATTGTGAATGAATGAATGAGTGAATGAATGAACCAATGAACAATTGCAGGCAGACCCCAGCTTGAACCCTGTGGCCCCACCTGAGCAGCAGGTAGCATCCGGGTTCACAAGCAAAGCCAAGCCGCAGGGTCACAGTGATTTTATTGGTCCACTTCAGGAGAGGAGGGCAGATGTTTCAAGCCCTTCAAATGCCCCCAGCACCAGCAGCTGAGAGTCCTGGGCAGGGGCTGGGTTGGAGAGCTGCTGGGGAGGGCAGAGGAGAGTGCCCAAGCACAGACTCTGGCACGACATCCTCCCCTCCCTAAAACCAGTGCCAGGGGCCAGCCTCTGGGCTGGGCTTGGAAAATGACCAATGAGACCAGATGCTAATGACTCCGGTCCAATCCAACACCAGGACAGCACAGAGTGGGCACGAACTGAGGAGGGATGCCAAACCGGTCCTTTCTGTGCTCCCCCCGCCCACCTCCCAGACCCCAGCCCAGGAGAACTGGTACCCTAGATCCAGTGCACCACCACCTCCACCACCCTGCCTTCGGAGAGGGATGGGGAGGCAGCAAGGCGTAGGATAATCGTAGGATAATCGCTGGACCAAGAGAGGCCTGAGGGGCAGCCCCCCCACACCCTGTTCTGGCCTCTGGGCAGCTTGGGTGTCAGTCAGGCGCCAGGCCCAGCTCACCCCTCCTTGGCCTCACAATCCCAGCCTTTGTCCAGCCCTGTCGGCCCGGAGCTGACCGGCTCCATACCGGCCCAAGGGCCCCTGGAAACCGGAGCAGCTGGAGCCCCACCAAGTGTTTTTCCAGCCTGGGCCCTCAGAAGAGAGAAAAGGATGGGAGGGGAGAGGTGTTCATTCATCCTTTGTTCATTCATTCCTTCCTTGCACAAATAATATTTATTAAGTGCCCACTTTGAGGTAGGCACTGTGCTAGGTGCAGGAGATTCAGCAGGGCCCACGCCCTCACTGATGGTACATTCTAGAAGCCAGCTGCCGAGGAGGTGCAAACAGAAGCAAATGTATGCCGATAAACCCCTCTCTCCCCGCTTGGGGGCTGGGCTTGGAGCAAGGGGAGTGAGAGAAGGGTTGGTGGCTTGGGGAAGGCGAGGATGCTACGACTAAGTTAAGGCCTATCTGCCCCAGCCTCCGCCCCCCCAGGCAGCTGGGGAAGCTGGGAGGAGGATCGCTCAGGGCTCCACCCACACGCTGCTGTTGGTCACCCGGGCCCCAAACCAGCCCTTCCAGTAGACGGAGTCCTGCCCCCCGTGCTCGAAGCGGATGAAGCGGACGCCCGGCCCATAGTCGGTGAAGGTGTGGGAGATCTGGGGACCGGAGGTAGGAAGAGTCAGCCCCAAGGGTCTGGAGTCCTCCCGCTGCTCCCTCACCCGGGCACCCCGCCCCGGCCTCCAGTTCCCCTGGGTTTCTCCGCTGGAGTACGCAAGTCTCCACCGCCCCTCTATGGCCTAGCCCAGGTGTGCTGTGGGTGGGGTCTCCACGGGTCCCACCCCTCGAGCCCAGGCCCCACCCGGTCATCTCTGCCCCTCCAGGCTCACCTCGATCCAGCCCTCGCCGTCACTGTCCTGCGGCACTGCCACCTGCCCGCTGTTGAACTCTGCCAGCACATCCTCGTGCTCAGACAGCAGCTTCACGGTGAGCTCATACAGGCAGCCGGCATCGCAGCGGCCCGAGTACCTGCCCCGAGGGAGGGAGCGAGTGCGTCCCAGGAACCCAGCCTTCTACCCAAGTCCTCATTTACATCTGGGGCCGGTACCACCCATGTTCCCGTTTTACAGATAAGAAAACTGAGACCAGAGAGAAAGTGACCCAAGATCCAAAGGCAAAGACAAAATCCCAGGTCGGCCACACCCAACCTTGGGGCCAAAGCCAACCCAGAGTCACATTTTGTTTGCACCACAGACTGATTGAAAATATATATACACACACACATACACTTATATACATATTACAAACGTGTGTGTGTGTGTGTGTGTGTGTGTGTGTATTTTGCCAACATTTAAAACTCAGGAGGGGAGATGTCAACCCACGTGGCCACAATCCCTAATCGGTAGGCGGCAGCCCCGCGGCAGGGGCCCCCTCTCGCCTGCCCCCTCTGCTGCGGCTCCCTGCTCACAGCCCGGGCCCCGCCTGGGCCTCACCAGTCCTTCACCACGATGGCCGGCTGAGTCGTGTCCAGCAGCTCCTCCCAGTAGCCCTCAGCCTGCAGATCAATGACCTGCGCTTTGCGACACCACCTGGGAGAAGGGGAATTAGGACGGAATGGACGCCCCCTCCCGCCCTCCCCCCTTCTCCTTACTCGAAGGAGGAGGCGAAGAACTTCTTGACGCTGTCATCGTGGGTGAATTCCACCCCACAGTCTCCAGGCAGCTCCTCCACCCTCCAGCCGTCCCCGCCGTGCTCCACGTCGCTCCAGCCCTCCAAGTCCTCTGTAGGGACACGACAGGCCCACCCTGGTCACCCAGTCCCTGCTGAGGCTGGGGCAGGGCTGCCTCTTGGCATGACAGAGGGGGCCTGGGCGAACGCGGCACTTCAGTGGCGTCGGGGTGGGCACGCGAGGGATGGTGGGGCGGAACTTCCTGATTCTCCCTCCTGGAGGACTGTCGCCAGGGCCCATCCGGTCCCAGCTCACGGAGGGTGGAAGGACCCGGTTAAGAGACCCAGGGCGCAGGCGGCCAGCGGGGTATAGTACTAGGCAGGAATTACTGGGGCCACTCCGTGCTGGACACTGAGCCAAGCGCTTTGCCGCATTTAACCCTGAAAGGGCCCCCACGGCCCGTTTACAGGCGGGGACGCCGAGCTCCCGCGGGCGCCTCTCACCTTCCCCGCACGGGTTGCGCAGCAGGTTGCGCCGCCGCTTGCTCAGGAAGTAGAACTGCTGCCAGTGGTCGCGCTCGTCCTCCGCGCCGCCCTCGGGCACCAGCCCCTCCTGCTGGCACTTGAGCAGCCACAGCGGGGCGCCGTCCACCAGCTCCTTCCAGCGCAGGCACACCAGGCGGCAGGCCCGCACCAGCTCGGCGGCCGGCAGCTCGGCCAGCACGCGCAGCAGCAGCGGCTCGGGCAGCTCGGCCAGGTACGCCGCCGCCTCCTGGTCCTCCTCCTCCTCCTGGTCCTCGGGCCGCCCCTCCTCGGCGCTCGCCTCCTCGCACGCCTCCTCCGGCTGCTCCTCCGGCTGGCCCACGTTCTCTGCGGGCAGGGCGGGCAGTGACTCCCCCAGACTGTCCCCTCCACAGCCCCCACCCACCCTGGGACGATCCCCAGCTGGGGCCAGAGAGTCTGTGACTCAAGAGACTGGTGCGCAGGCAGGAGGCCCAAGGGACAGGGGGCCACCAAGCAGCTCCTAAGTCCTAAGAGTTGCTCAGAGACCTGTTTCCCCGGAAGGGCGGGTAAACCCCATCCCTGGGCAGATAACAGCAGGGTCGTGTTATTAATGAGAGCCATCTAGACCACTGTCCTAAGGCTTCACACATGAACTCCTTTAATCCTCCCAGCCACCCTCTGAGAGCCTGCTCCCCTCACTTCCTCAGGAAGCCCCCCTGGACTTCCCCCCATTCCAGACTCTCTCAGCTTCCTAGCTTTTGTCCCCAGGTGTGGTAGTTTGATGAGCGCCTTTCTCCAGACAAGATCAAGCTTCATGCGGGCGGGAACCAAGTGTGGGAAACCCTCTGCTTTCACCCCCAGTGCCTGGTGCGCGTCAGAGCGCACGCTTATTGGGCACTCAGCAAGCGCCAGGCACTGTCCTGAGCGTTTCAATTTCCTTACGCTAAATCCTCACCCCATTTCCTCCGGGCTGCCCATAGCCATTGCTGCCCCTGATTCATTGAGGAAGACGCTGAAGCACAGGGAGGGGAAACAGCCGCATCACACTGCTGATGAGTGGTTGGAGCCTGGCTTTGAACCCAGCCGGGCCCCAGAGCCACCCTAAACCACCACGGCCAGGGGACAAAATAATTCGTGGAAGTAGGCACTGTTAGGGCACTGTTAGGGTTTTGATTTTGCAGATGAAAATGCTCAGGCTCAGAGATGAAGTGACTTCCTGAAGGACACACTGCTAGTATTTCGGGGAGGGGACACAGGACCTGAAGCCTGGGGTTGGGGGCAAAGAGTTAAGGCTGGAGACCCAGCTGTCCGAAGCCAGCCTCTGTTGTGTGACTTGGGGATAGGGAGGGGCTCGTTAAAAGAAACTCTGTATATCAAACAGGGGCTTGGGAAAGGACGGTTTCTTCACCTCTTCTCCCATCCTGGCCCTCAGTTTCCTCATCTATAAAATGGGGCAATCATTTTATAGATGCCAGATTCACAGTGCTGATGTTCAAATCCCCTGGGGAGGGGGCAAGGGCATTCTGAATCGTAAGGAGGTGGGTGGATGTCGGCAGCACTGTCTCTTGGATCCCGGCCAGCTTCAGCTGGGCCACCGGAGCCTTGAGTAAGTAGATACGGAGTGCCCAGTATCTCTGGAGGAGGGAGCGCCAGTGAGGAGACAGGCCACTCTGGGTGATGGGGGAGGCCACCGCTCTCAGACTAGGATGGGGATTCCTGAGGGTTGGGCCCCGGAAAGCCACAGCAGTGGGGGAAACAGGCCGGACCCTGGGGGAGGGGACAGGTGGCAGGGCCCAGTCCTCACACACACACACAGTCAGGCCTTTAAGTGACGACCAGGGTTTACCTGTTTCTCAGAGCCCAGAGCACACAGTGAGTCCTCAGAACGCCTTACTGAGTGAATCTCACTGAGCACAGCACTGTCCCTCCATTAATAGCATTTTTTGGCCACATCTTTAGGACATGGAGGTTTACACTCTCCCTTTTGGCAAAGAGGAACCGGAGGCCCAGAGAGGCTTAGTGGCTTCTCCCAGATCACACAGCAGAACAGCAGGAAGGCAGAGAGGAAAATACTGGGCCCTGAAGCCACATCGCCTGCCCACCCACATGCCCACAGCTCTCTGGGGAGCTGGGCCCAGTGTCCTCACCTCTCCACCCCTCTCCCCTGCCCTGCCCTGGCCCCAACGGACACCTGATGCTCCCCCGAAAGGTGCACCTCACCCAGTCTGCTCTTCTGGCCCCCAGGCCTGGCATTTGAGGCCCCAGATCCGATTACAGCCCCCCCACCCTCTCTCGCACACACAACTCCCCACATTGTTGTTGTCGGAAAGTTATCTGGCCCCTGGAAGCCGCCTCTGAGGCTGATTCACTCACCTGGATGGGGCCCCAGAGTCCAGGGAATAGCTGGGCCCTGGGAAAACACAGGGGCCGATTCTGGGGCTCTACAGAGGGTGTGGCGAGGGAGCTCCAGGAGCCGGGATTTTCAGGTCTGGAGACCTCCTCCAGGCAATGCCCACCCTCAGCTGGACCCGTGAGGAAGGGGGAGGGCAGTCTGCAGGCAGCTCTTGTTCCCACCCTGACTCAGCAGGCAACCCCTACAGGCCCAGAAGGGAGTTGGAGGGATGGGGGGGCCCTTGGTGCCAGAGATGACTGGGCAGTCTCAGAGGGCCAGCCAAGAGCTGCCCCCAACTCTCCCGCACTGCTGGCCTGGTGCCCACGGAGCATCCTGCCCCCCAGGTGAAGGGCAGCCCCTCCAGATGAGGGAGCCCAGGGGGAAGGCTGGGATGGGTGGGGAAAGGCAGGTAACCCCAAGAAACCCGCGGGGATTCAGGCCACAGAAGGGCCAAAGCTGGCAAAGGGAGGAAGCTGATGAAGAAGGCGGCTTGCAGCCTCCATCCCAGACCGCCCCAACCCCCCGCCCGACAGACCCTCAAGAAGCTGTCCTCCCATGCTACTTCCTGCATAAATGGGACCCAGGAGTCCTTCCTCCCAGCCTGTCGCCTCTCAAGGCCTCCCGCCAGACCAAGACACCGGGGAGAAGGCTGCGCTCTTTTGAGATTGTCTCAAGGACTCTGCTTGCGTGAAAGTTTGCCGCGCTGGGTCTCGGGGCCCCTGGCTCTCCGGTGACCCCGCTTTGTGGTACCCGCGCCTGCCCCGGTCCCCCTCCCAGCTGGAGCGATCGAGGCCAGGCGGCGGCGGCTACCTGGGTCCCCGTCTCCGTCCATCGCTGCGGAGGGCGGTCGCGAGAGGAGGAGGAGCCGGAGCGCTGCGGGCTGCGCGCGGCGGCCGAGGCGGTGGCGAGTCCCGGCGCTGTCCGCGTCTGGGTCGGTCCCGGCGGCCGCGCCTCTTAAAGGTCCCCGCTCCCGCCCCCGCCCCGCCTTTGGCCCCGCGCCCGGCCGCCCCGCAGTCCCAGGATCCGCCGAGGCCTGAGGCTCCGGCTTCCCCGGCGGACCCAGGAGGCCGGGAAAGGTCACGAGTCGGGTGTTTTTAAGTAGCGGGGTCCGATGGGGGCCGTCCCTCAGCTCGCTCCTGGGGGGTGCTCGGAGGAGGCGAGGGGGCAGGGCGAGTCTGGGTCAGGCAGAGGGTGCGGGGTGCACGGCCCTGGCGGAGTGCGGGGTAAGAGGCCCGCTCCGCCTCCTCCTCCCAGGTAATTTTCCTACGATGCGGTGGGGGCGTGGCCTTGGCCTGGCGCGGGGCGGGGCCGAGGCCGCGGGGGCGGGGCCGCTTCCACCGGCAACCGCAGGCCCGGGCGACTCAGCCCGGGCGGCCGAGCCCGATCGCGCAGCGGCGGCCGAGCGCAGGTGACCGGAGGGGGGGCGCGCGGGAGCGCCGGGGAGGGGGCGCTGCCGGGCCGGGGCCTGGCGGGCGGGCTCGGCTGCTCCTGACCGCGCCGCACTGCGCCCAGGGAGGCCGGGGGCCGCCGAGGAGGCCCAGGCTGCCGAGCTTGCCCCGGACGCACTTTGCGGCCGCGAGCGGCGGCGGGGGCGGGATCCGGGCTGGGGTCGCCATTGATGCGCTGGGGTCCGCGCTTCGACTTTGGGGGACATTTTAAGGCCACAGCGTGGGAAGGGGAGGCGCAGACGCGTCGGCGGACCTGGGGCTGGAGCCCAGGCACGGGGATCGGGGTGGGGAGCTAGGAAGGGCCCTTCCCCATCGTCCACCTCTCGCCAGTGCCTCTGCGATCTTGAGAAAGTCGCTTGAGCCCTTTGACCTCCGTGGGAGGCAGTGATAATTATTCCCCAACCCCCAACATCACGTTTTGAGGATGGGAGGGAGGATGATGGAGACAAGACGGAGCAGCCTGGAGTGCTCCGCGGGGCTGCGCATTATTTCCTCTCTAAAGACTGTATGGCCTATTTAAAAAGGCTCGTTCTAGAATCAGAGAAGACCCCCAAGCCACTTCCCCCCCGCGCCTGTCCGTTTGACCTTGGCAGTTCCTTCTACCATCCTGGGCCTCCTAAACCTCCTCAGAGGGCGCTGTGAAATGCCATTGAAAACTCAGAGCTCAACTTTTATTGAGCAAATGCTGTGTCCAAAGCTCCCCAGACAGCCCCAGTGACCCTGGAGGTAAGGGGAGGAAACAGGCTTGGAGAGGCATAGTGACTCTCCCAGCTAGTAAATGTTAGAGCTGGGATGGGGACCTTCACCACCACCAGGTGCTGCAAATGAAATGGTTCTGGGAGAGGGCCGGGTCTGTAGCATAGCTTTCCATAACCACAGGAGCTGTCCAGAAGCCACAAGCCATGGCTGTAGGGAACATCAACGAGCTGCCGGAGAACATCCTGCTGGAGCTGTTCACACACGTGCCAGCACGCCAGCTGCTGCTGCGCTGCCGCCTGGTCTGCAGCCTCTGGCGAGACCTCATTGACCTGGTGACCCTCTGGAAGCGTAAGTGCCTGCGCGAGGGCTTCATCACCGAGGACTGGGACCAGCCCGTGGCTGACTGGAAGATCTTCTACTTCTTACGTAGCCTCCACAGGAACCTCTTGCACAACCCATGTGCTGAAGGTGGGGCACAGAGGGGGTCTGGCGTGCCCTCAACACACACTGTCATGAAATCAGCTAACATTTATTGAGCACATACTATAAGCCAGGTACTTTGGATGCTTAGCTTCTTTAATCCCCTCACAATAACCCTAGGAAGTAGATACTGATAGTGCACACATTTTTCAGATGGGCAAGCTGAGGCCAAGAGTAGTGTTTCTTATTCCACTCTTAAGAATATTTCCCCAGTGACCTTGCCTACGAAGGGGAATGTTGGCCAGTTGGGACTAATTGTGCTCGGGACACAAGACCAGGAAGTCAGAGTCACATTTTGTTGGCCTAGTTCCCAGACTCCAGGGCTAGGCCTACAGAGACTGTCCCAGATGGCAAGGGGGGTTTTGCTTCTGGAAGAATGGGAGATCCAGTCTTCTTTCCAGCATGTTATAAAAACAGGTAAAACAAGGGATCTACAGTCATCCAGGAGCCCCTTCTTCCCTTGCTATGGTGCAACTTGTCAGGTGGATACAGGGATGGGATTGGAAACTAATTCTCCATTACAGGGCCAAATCCCAGAGCAAAATTATGATGAACTCCTCCAAGCTATCCAGAGCTTTCAGATGTGTGCTTCACTTGACTCCCCAATAGCCATGTTCTCGACCAGCATTTGGCAAACTATGGTCCTTCCACGTGCCAAATCTGGCTGAGGACTTAAGAATAATTTTTACCTTTTTTAAAAAAAAAAGAAAATAACAAAAACTATGCAGTAGAAACAGTATGTGGCCCACAAAACCTAAAATAGTTTGGCACTTTGCAGTAAAAGTTTCCCAGCCCCTCTTCTTATTCCAATTTACAGAGGAGAAAACTAAGGCTCAGAGAGGGAAAGCAACCTGCTAAGGTCACACAGCCCAGTATTGGTAGAGCTGGGACTAGACCTAGGTCTGTCTGGCCCATGTCAGATCATTCTCCATCACAGAAGGGGTCTGCTCATTCACGTCATCCTGTGTCTCAGGATTCCCAGGGAAATCACTTACCTGTGCCTGGGACACAGGAAGCACTGAACACGAGGTGGGCACTGTTGATCTGCAGTGTCTCACGGCATGGGCAGCCACCAAGATCCAGGCAGAGGAGCAGGGAAAAAGAGACACTTGGGAGAGGGTGGCCACTGAGGGGCTTCCCTTCATTGTAAACTCTGCTTTCCCACCAGAGGGGTTTGAGTTCTGGAGCCTGGACGTGAACGGAGGCGATGAGTGGAAGGTGGAAGATCTCTCTGGAGACCAGAGGAAGGAGTTCCCCAATGCCCAGGTCAAGAAATACTTCGTGACTTCTTATTAGTAAGAGCCGGGTCTCTTGGGGTGGAGGGAAGCCCAAGTCACTTCACCCTGGGGTCTCTCCCACCTGGGGAGGGGCAGTCCTAGCCCCCCCAGTGCCCTAGCGGTGAGCCCCAGCCCCTCCCACCCTTCCGCCCACCCCCAGCACCTGCCTCAAGTCCCAGGTGGTGGACCTCAAGGCCGAAGGGTATTGGGAGGAGCTGATGGACACCACACGGCCGGACATTGAGGTCAAGGACTGGTGAGTGCCTGGGGCGAGGGTCTGGGGGGGGGCCTGCCGCTCAGGCGCCCCACCTCCACCCTGCCCCCCATCTCCCAGGCCCTGATGGGCCTTCCCTCTCCCTGCAGGTTTGCAGCCAGGCGGGACTGCGGGTCCAAGTACCAGCTGTGCGTTCAGCTCCTGTCGTCTGCGCACGTGCCTCTGGGGACCTTCCAGCCAGACCCGGCGACGATTCAGCAGAAGAGCGATGCCAAGTGGAGGGAGGTGTGTGGGCCCGGGAGGGGCAGGGGACAGAGGAAGACTGCCCAAAGCTGAGACTGCCGTCACACAGGCCTAGGTTCAGACCCAAGCTCTGCTCCCTCTCACCTTGGCTTCCCCTGCTCTGAGCTTCAGTTACTTCTTCTGTAAAATGGGTATGATAGTGCAGCCCTAACTGAGCTCGCAAAGAAGTCAGTGACATGATGCTGGGAAGGCCGGGTCCAAAAAAATATTCAAAAAAGTTAACTGTTACTAATTATTAGTATCAGTTATTACTATTTACTAGACCGGAGTCAGCAAGTGTTTTCTTTTTTTTTTTTTTTTTTTTTTCTAAGTAGCATGTATTTTTTATTTTTTTTTAATTTTTTATTTTTTGAGACAGAGTCTCGCTCTGTCACTTCCAGTTAGAGTGCAGTGGCGTCATCATAGCTCACTGCAGCCTCAGACTTCTGGGCTCAGGTGATCCTCCTGCCTCAGCCTCCCGAATAGCTGGGACTACAGGCGTGTGCCACCACACCCAGCTAATTTTTCTACTTTTAGTAGAGATGGGGTTTGGCTCTTGCTCAGGCTGGTCTTGAACTCTTGGGCTCAAGCAATCCTCCCACCTCAGCTTCCCAGGGGGCTAGGATTATAGGCATGAGTCACCGCTCCTGGCCAGTATAAATGTTTTCTTAAAATGGCAGATACAAATATTTTAGGCTTTACAGGCCGCACTGTCTTTGTTACAACTACTCAGCTATGCTTTTGTTGTGTAAAAGCAGCTTTAGACAATATGTAAACAAATGGACATGAGAGTGTTCCAATAAAACTTTATTTACATAAACAGGCAGTGGGCCTGCAGGCCATAGTTTGCCAACCCCTGATCTAGACCAGCACCGTCTGATAAACTTTCTGCAACAGTACAAATGGTCTGTGTCTGCGCTGTCCAGTAAGGTAGCCAGGAGTCACTTGTGACTATTGAACACTTAGTAAGAGCCAGTTCCTAACACAACTGAGTAACTGAATATTTTATTTTACCTAACTTTAATTAATTTTAACTCAAAGAGCCACACGTGCCCAGTGATGACCGTATTGGACATCCTTTGGCAGCTTGCGGTGTCTCTGTCAGTTCCTGTGAACCACATGGTAATCCTGTGGAGCCGACCCAGCATGATTTTGCTGCATTTTACAGATCAGGAAACTGAGGCACAGAGAGGGGAGGTGGTCTGCTCAAAATCACAGAGCAAGGACTAAAACAACATTCCATTGATTCCTGGTCCAGCACTAAAAACTCCACCCCATCCTTGCTCCCCTGGCCTCACAGGCAGTGCCATGCTCAGGGTCAGCGCCCTTGACCTCTCCCCCCTCTGCTGCTCCCCCCTCCCAGGTCTCCCACACATTCTCCAACTACCCGCCCGGCGTCCGCTACATCTGGTTTCAACACGGCGGCGTGGACACTCACTACTGGGCCGGCTGGTACGGCCCCAGGGTCACCAACAGCAGCATCACCATCGGGCCCCCACTGCACTGACGCCCCCTGAACCCCCATCCACCGAACCCTGACTGGTAAACTGCCGTCAGAGAAGAGCCAGGCTTGGGAAGGGGAGGTGGAGACCAGGTGTCCCCAGCTCTGAGTTCGCCCTTGCCCCCAGTCGCCTCTTCTTTGTAGAGCTCCTCACTTTGGGCAGCCCTCATGTGCTGCCCAAGGTCTTGACCTGAGTGATGGCAGGGAGGCCTTTGTGGGCCCCTTTAAGAAATGGACCACTTGAGGTTAGGGCAGTACAGCGTGTTCCCCCGGGCTCCTCTGAGAGTGGGTCTCCAAGCTTGGATGCCACCTAGATCTGTGTCTCTACTTTCCCCTCCTGGGACCTTTTTCCCTGTGTTGTTTGGGGGCCCTTGGAGTAGGGACAGGCAAGACATCTGGCAAGCTACGCCGCCCTGGATAGTACGGCGCAGGGGTGACCATGTTACTCGGAGAGATCTGGGAAGTAGAAGGCGGGCTCTGCCTGCCTGCTCAGCAGCGGCTTTGGTCCACAGGCTCAGGCCCAGTCTGAGACGGGCAGACCCTGGGTGGGGTGGGGTGGGGTTCAGGCTGGGTGTGGACTGTTCTCACTCTCAATGAAGCCCCACAAGCCAGATCGATACCAGGTGGGGATAAGGCTCCCAGAGGACCCAAGGAATGCTGCACAGGGTGTCCCAGGGTAGGTGAGGGGCAGGACAAGGCTCTGATTTCTGAGAGCTGAATGTATGAGCTCTCAGAATGAGATGAATGGGGTAGAGGGTGTTCAAGGACCACCTGTCCACATCCAAGCCCCTCTCTGTGGCTTGGAGGGCATTCCAAGCCCCACCGTACCCTTGGAACTGCCTTTCCAGGACCTCCCCACCCCACCCTGCTTCTGCCTCTCCCTCCTGCTGGAAGGGCAGCGGTGTTCTCCTGACCTTGTCCTGTTGCATGTGGCCAAATAAAAGGTGTTCCCAGCCCAGCCTGTGCCCTGTGGTTTCTGGAAGGAAAGGCAAACTTCCTGGGTGGTCCTGCCTGGACCTACAGGAGGTGCAGTGGTGTGGCTTCTGTTGAAGGTACAGAGAGGGGTTGACATTTCAGGAGCCAGACCATCGCAGAACCAGGGTCGTGGGACCCTCAACAAGCTGCAGACATCTCGGCCCAGCAGCCCTTCTGTACTACCAGCTTCCTCTGGAGGCCGGGCCACAAGGCTGGGGGCAGGGTGTGTGGCTATCCCTGGGCAGCCCTTGTATCCACGGCATGCTGGTTTGGCGGTGCCACTCAGACACTGCTTCCTGATTTTACTCCACCAAGAGCTTTACTGACATGCCATGAAGCCTGGCACGTAGTAGATGCACAATAAGTAGTCACTACATTTAATTAGCTCACTACATTAGGGTCTCTGCCAGACTGGGACCACCACCCACCAACTGTATGGCAAACTGGAAAAAGACGCCCTTCCACGGAGAAGATGCAGCCCTGACTGCAATTAATGCGGCCTGGGCCAGCCCCCTTGCACAGTGCACAGCCTGCACAACCCTTGGTGGTTGCCTGAACCAGGTGCTTGATAAATATTTGTTGAAGGAAGGAAGGAATTCAGGAACTTAATCCTGACTAAAACCCAGAGAGATTTTTAGCTTTGAATTAACTGAGGCCTGCCGAGGTCACGCCCTAGGGAAGTAAAGGGCGGGAGTCAGCTGCCGCCTCGGGGGCGGGGCCCGCGGTCCGGCGAGAGCTGGCCCCGCCCCGTGCCTCCCTGGCTTGGAAGGAGCTGGTGGGAGCAAGTGGGAGGAGGTGGGAGCACGTGGGAGGAGCGGCCGCGGGGAGGTGCGGAGGGAAGAGGTGAGTGCCGGCTGCGGGGCCGCCCGCCGCCTGGAGGGGGAGCCTGGGCTTCAGGAAACGCGGGCGTCGGCGAGGCCCGGGGCTTCCGGAGCGCGGCCAGGCCGCGGACCCAAGGCTCGTCTTCCCGTGCTGGCCCCGGGATGGCGGTGGCGTGGCGTGGCGGTGCGGACGGCGGTGGCGGCGGGCGTGGCGCGTGACGCGGGGCGGGGCGACAGCGGACGGCGCCAGGCCGCAGGCTCCAGGCCGATTCCGAAGTGCGGTCCCGGGCCCAGGTCGCGGCCCAGCGGGGGACCAGCAGTGGGTGGCGGGCGAGGGGCGCCCGGGTCTCCGGCGCGGGGCTGTGGGGCTGAGCCGAGCCCGCGAACGCCGTGCCGGGTGGCCCGGACGGGACCGGTCGCCCTCGCGGGGCCGCGCTGCGCCGGGTCGGGAACGCGGGGCCCTGCCTCTGACTCGGGGCCTGGCCGCGGGGATGTCTAGGCGCAGGCTCGGCGTCCGTGGCCACCCGGGCCACACCCCGCGGCGGCGCTCGCCTGCGGGATCGGAGACGGGCCGGACTTGCCTCAGCTTCTGCTTCCCAGGGGCGGGCGTAGTAAGAGCGCCTCGAGTGCCCGCCGGGAGGGTCTCCGCTGAAATGGCGAGCTTGTGACACCGCTGTGAGGTGTGAGTGAGGTGGCTTCTTAGGGCTGGCGTGGACTTTACCACCACAAAACGCCCCGGGATGGCCGGCACCCCCTGCCCCACC